CCCTACTCATCTTACGCATAGCTCCCACGACCTCCTCAACCTTGATACGCCTGCAGTACCCAAAGTCACGGTGACTCTCGGAATGCTCCAATTCGCCTAACACAATATCCCGATCCCCTTCTTAATTCAGAAGTTTATGAAAGTAAGTCTGCCATCTCCTCTTAATCTGGGCATCTTCCATCAATACTCTACCATCTACGTCCTTGATACATCTCACTTGGTCTAAATCCCGAGCCTTCCTCTCCCTCAACTTGGCCAGCCGGAATAACTTCTTCTCCCCACCTTTTTTCCCCAATTCCTCGTACATATGACCATAACCCGCAGTCTTAGCCTCTGTGACTGCCAGCTTAGCCTCCTTCCTTGCTGCCTTATACCTCTCTATGCACACTCGCCTCTCCTCTTCACTTATGCCCCCCGCTAACTTCAGGTACACTGCCTTCTTTGCTTTAACTTTACCTTGGACCACTTCATTCCACCACCAGTCTCCTTTGTGCCCACCAGAGACGCCCGTCGAGACCCCTAACACCTCTCTCGCAGCCTCCCTAATACAGTCTGCTGCCGTTGACCACATAGTGCTCGCGTCACCACTGCTCCTCCAAGGTCCCAGAGCCAATAACCTCCCCTCCAAAGCTTGGGCTTTATCCTTAGTTAAGGCTCTCTACCTGATTCTCGGTCTTCCTCGAGTAGACCTTTTCCTCCTCTTCAACATAATACCAACGTCCATCACCAAGAGCCTATGCTGCGTCGCGAGTATCTCACCCAGAATCACCTTATAATCCTTGCACAACCCTCTGCACAAATGAAGTTAAGGACTGCACAAATGAAGTTAAGGACAGGATGTCCTAAAGTTTAAAAATAGAAGGTGCAAATACAGGACATTTTGACCTTGATATCTACACTGTACACATGAAGTTAAGGACGGGACATCCTAAAGTTTAAAAACAGAAGGTGCAAATACATGACACTTTGTCAATAATATTTACACTACACACATAAAGTTAAGGACATGATGTCCTAAAGTTTAAAAACAGAAGGTGCAAATACAAGACACTTGGTCCTTAATATTTACACTGCACACATCCAATTAAAAACACCATGTCCTTAATATTTACACATCACTCATGAGGTTAAGGACACCATGTCCTTAATATTTTTATACTACACACATGAAGTTAAGGACACCATGTGCTTAACATTTATACTAATCACATGAAGTTAAGGACACCATGTCCTTAATCTTTACACTGCACACATGACGTTAAGGACGGGATGTCCTAAAGTTTACAACAGAAAGGTGCTAATTAGGACACTTTGTCCTTAATATTTAGTTGTGGAACTTTATATATACATAGCAAATGAAATGATTAATAAACTCTTTTTGATTGTTTACCTATTGTTGTCGTCTGTCTTTATATTAGTGTATGTTCCCGGGTTTTTACTTTTCATCATGTACAAGTATGAAGATAGTAATTCATAATTCTCTTCAGGAGTTCCTCTTATCAAAGCTAAAGCATGTTGAATAGCACGCCACGCCTTGTGATACCCAATGTATAATCCATGCAATTTTTACATTTCTGCCATGACAAAGACCGGTGTAACTTCAAACCTTAGGTCTCAAAGATTGTCAATAAACTAATCAACTTTGATCAGCTTTCATAGTGTTAACTGAGTAATCATGATTTTTCTCAACCTTTACTATCTTGAATAGTGTTGAATCTTTAATTCTGAAAGCGTGCACACACCACCCACACTTTTCATCATTGCATTTCAAAGAATATCTTGTTGAACTTGATCTAACAAACTTGAATTCAAAATGTCCTTTAATTACTATATTCGAAAAACGGTTAATTATAATCTTCATTTGGTCAAATATTGATCCCACTTTTATTTCATCCAATGAAGCATTTTCTCTCAATATTGTAGTTAGGAATTCTTTTTGTTTCGACTTTGACCTTCGCCTAGTTAGTTGAGTACAGTATTTTTCAGCAACTTCTTCAATTACTGGTGCACTCTCTAAGACTTGAATACCCAAATCTTGTTGGTTGTTAATATCTATAATGCTTTGTCCTTCCATTTAAATAGAATTGAATGTTTGAAGCACCTCTTCAATTATTGGTTCAGGTTCAACCACATCTATTTTCATTATCTGTTGGCATTTGTCTTGATTGTCTTGTTGAGTTTCTATGTTGACATATTCAAAGGTGCTTGTAGAGTCAAAAACTCTTTCCGAAACATCAACAATGAAACGACAGCCCTTGAAGAGTGAATGACTTTTTAGTAACTCTATACATGTGTGAAGGTCTAAATCTTTGGATACAAGCATTCCCTTGCTTGTTCCCAGGTTGATATCAAACCATATCATTGCTTCAAACCTGTCTCTATCCAATTCAATAACTTCAATGACCTAGTTGACGAAATCTTCAAATCGAATTTCCTCAGGTACTAGAACAAGCTTTATTTTATGATCTAGATACTTATAGTCTGCGATCCATCTTCCATCGAAAGCAACAATAATACATATTGTATCTATCCTGCAAGTCAAGAAAATGAGAAATTCAGGACACTTTGTCCTTAATATTTACACAACAGTCATGAAGTGAAAGGCATGATGTCCTAAACTTTATCAATACAAGGTGCAAATACAGGACACTTTGTCCTTAATATTTACACAGCAGTCATGAAGTTGAGGACGCGATGTCCTAAACTTTATCAATACAAGGTCCAAATACAGGATACTTTGTCCTTAATATTTACACAGCAATTGTGAAGTTAAGGACATGATGTCCTAAACTTTATCAATACAAGGTCCAAATACAGGATACTTTGTCCTTAATATTTACACAGCAATTGTGAAGTTAAGGACATGATGTCCTAAACTTTATCAATACAATGAGCAAATACAGGACACTTTGTCCTTAATATTTACATATCAATCATAAAGTTAAGGACACAATGTCCTAAATTTTATCAATACAAGGTGCTAATTGAGGACACTTTGTCCTTAATATTTACACAGCAGTCATTAAATTAAGGACACGATGTCCTAAACTTTATCAATACAAGGTGCAAATATATGACACTTTGTCCTTAATATTTACACAACAATGTATTTTTTCTATAAAGATGCAATCAAGAAAAGGAAAATAAAAAAAATCAAATCCCCTGCATCTCATTCTCCAGCAACCAAATAAAAATTCACACAAAAGCATAAAGAGATATTTGAAATTTTAGAACTTACAGTAATTTTATGATGAAATTTGGACGTGAAAGTTAAATTCTCTAATTTGAAATAGGAGGAGAAACTTTTTTGTAATTTGGACGAGGGAAGGTTTATGCAGCACGTAAGGTTTGAGCGAAGGTTCCTCTCCTAAACTCTGCACATAAATAAACTGAGTGAAGGTTTCAACATTATTATAGCACATGGGTACTTTCGACCGGGCGGGTAAAAGTTTATTAAAGTAGTGGCTTAAGAGTAAATACATTNATAATATACTGGTCCAGCATAACATGCTGGAAATTCATACACAGGTGCTCCAATCTCTAGTATATTATGCTGGAATTTTTCGTGTGCTGGAGTTCCAGCATAATATGCTGAAGTTCATATATAGGTGTACTAATCTCCAGTATATTATGCTGGAACTTTCCGTGTTGCAGCAAAATAGTGGCTATTTTTCAATGACTTTGCAAACACTGATTAGTTTTCAATTACCAGTCCGAAAACTGACTAACTCGTGCTATTTTTACTCGTATATGGGTACTCATATGACATTCAATCGAAACTATTTATTTGCTTTAGCATTTATGTTGAGACCAAGAGGGCCAAATGTTTTATTATTATTATTATTATCTCGTTTTGATTGAAATGTTGCACCACATGTATTTGGTGATGATTGGAATTAGTGTGATTTTGACTGGTTGATGGGGGTTAAAGGCCTCGGCTGACGATCAGGCGTTAATTTTGGGGCGTGCCATTAGACATGTATTCTTTTATCCAAATTGTGAAACTTTGTTTTCTGCAAATGTGCAAAACTCAGTGTTCCTCAAACACCATATCGACGAGTTCCAAGAATATTGTTACAAAGAGTTGCAAAGGTAAAGTTCTCAACCAAGAAAATTATTATTGCAAGTCATACTAAAAAACTCCATTTAGGATCTCTTTTTACATCATGGTAGAACCAAAAGCACATGGACCAATATATCAATGAAATGATTAACAGCTAAAATTGAAAAATTACCCAAAAGAACAAAATGAATGTTCAGCAGAAACAAGTATAAAAGAGACCCAAATTTGATCATTTTAGCGGAAGTTGCAAAGAAATATATCCGCTTCTTTGCATGGAGTATACTTTCTAGTTTCTGCCAATTAATAGTTAGGATAAACCCAATCAGTTTTGAATGTAAGGCTATCGGCCCTCCTCTAGGGTAACAGTCAACTCATTGTTGGAGTTGATGTATGACTTACTGGAGGACGAAGTCGTTCTGTTACAAGCACGTGTTCGTGCGGTAAAAGCAGGTTTATTAGGTTTCGGAAGAGAAATGCTTTCACTACCAAGCATTATAATTACATCTGGCATGCTTGGACGAATGCGTGCTTCTTCTTGTACGCACAAGAGCGCAATATTAATGCATTTCAATACATCATCTTCATTGCATGATTCTAGTAGAGATTCATCAATTAAACTCATAGCATTTCCTTCATTCCATAATCTCCATGCCTGAAATATACCTCCAGAGTTAGGAAAAAGAGGTAATATAGTTACCAAACTGAAGTTTTAAAAAAAAACAAAGAGAAAAAATCAAGAAGTTTTAGGAATTTTAGAAATTTTCACTCACATAACCCAGGAGGTTTAAGGCTTCCTCTCGCTCATAAAATCCTGTATTTCTCTTGCCACATGTGATCTCAAGCATCATTACTCCAAAACTAAAAACATCAGACTTGATTGAGAATAATCCATCTAATGCATATTCTGGAGACATATAACCACTGCACCAAAAATTTGAGATGTGATTGGATTTAAATGTATTCTAGTACTAATATTGGAGTGATTGCAGCTAGCTAGAAGTAGAACTTACTATGTTCCAACAACTTTGTTTGTATTTGCTTCTGTAGTATTCCCTTGCACTATCCTTGCTAAGCCAAAATCTGAAATCTTGGGGTTCATCTCTTTATCTAATAATATGTTACTTGTTTTTAAATCTCTATGAATGATCCTCAACCTTGAATCATGGTGCAGATAAAGAAGCCCACGAGCAATCCCCAAAATGATATCAAATCGCTTCTTCCAATCTAATAACACCTGATGTCTTTCGTCTTGTGCAGTCAACATTCAAAAATGGTAATAATCAATAATAAAACAAAGTAGTTTATACTGAGAATTAAAAAGGAAATGATGTGCGAGTACCAACCAAAAATGAAGGTGTCTAAACTTTTGTTCGGCATATACTCATAGAGTAAAATCTTTTCATTTCCTTGGACGCAATAACCCATAAGTCTAACGAGATTTCTATGCTGAAGTCTTGCAATCAATACTACTTCATTCTTGAATTCGTTTATGCCTTGACCCGATTGGGCTGATAACCTTTTGATTGCAATTTCTCGTCCTCGATGAAACTTCCCCTGAAAATAATTTTAGTAAGTAAATTATATTACATTAAAAAAAAATACATAGCTCGTAGATAGAAGATTTAACAAACAAAAAAGTGATCCTTTGCAATAACCTTATAAACAGAACCAAAACCACCACGTCCTAGCTTATTTTCTTCTGAGAAGTTATCTGTCGCTGCTAAAATGCTTTCCAAACTAAAGAATGGAACATCGATGCCTTTCTCATCCTCCTCATTTATTAAGTCGCCTGACCCCTTTTGAGTGTTCAACCAGTGCGGCCGTGGATTTCCTTGATAGAAAGAAAAAAGGAGAATATATAATTTTGAATTAAACCTATATATATAATTTATCAAGAGCAGAGAGTTTGCACTTACCTTTTGTTCTTGCTCTCCTTGTTCTATAAAATAGGTAGACAAAGATGCATAGAAAAAGAGTAGTGGCAATTGTAGTAGGAAGAGCAACTTTTAGCCTTCTTGACTTATGCGTTTGGTCTGCAACTGTTGTAATAAAAAAGATAAAGTACATGCATTTTAAATAGATAAAGTAGAATCAAGTAGCTAATTCCTTGTAGCCTGAGAGGCTTAATAATTTCGGAATACCTTTGGGAACTGAAAATTCAGAAGCAGCTAGTTTGACATAAATCGTCATTCCAGTAGCATCATCTTCGGATAGTTGTTGCAAGTTGAAGAGGTCTCCATTCCAAGTTAGACATTGATTGGCATCAAAAGCATAAGCAGTACAAGAGCAAATATTCAAACAAATAGATTCACATTCAGTTTCACTATCAACTGTCAGAGTGCGATTATTAACTGGTAATCTCATATGAGAATGTCTCCAGAATTTGTCCTGCTCCAAATTGGCAGCCGTTACATTACCACACTTGAGACTTGTTTTCCTCTCACAACCACTAGAGAAGCTATTCAAATCCCAATCAGTGTTTGACTTAGGAGTGAAACCAGACAAACAATCACACGAGCGGTTTGCGATCAGATTGCAGGTACCGAATGCCCCACAATATGCATAAACATTACATGGTGGTGTTGGTTGAGTGAAAAACACATTCCACTGCTTGCTACTATTCATCCATGTCAGTTGCTTAAGTTCCCCGGAGACATCCAGTATTACTCTTGCCCTGGATAAAGGATTTAAAATAAAATATCTGAAATAGACCTCATCGTCGTTGTTTATAAATGTGTAGTTGTACTGTGAATTTGGTCTCAAAGGCAACGAGCCGAATGTATGTCCATTCCAAGGTCCAGTAGACCAGTACTTTACAGTCTTGTTCCACCTAATAATGAATTCACCGTTAGGCTCCGCCTCAAGGGAAAAGAGTCCTGGACTAGGATCTTCAGAGTTTTTCCAAGAAGTGAGAACTTGGCTTGTTTTACTTCTTTTATTGTAGCCAAATTTAGAACCAGAGAAAAACGTGTGGCTCGGATGATCAAAACTTTGCCACAATGAATTGGACCCGTCATTCAAAATCAAATTTCCATCATCACGAATAATCGCCACGATAGATTTCGACGTGGCGCTGGAGTTGATATTTGTCGACCAAATGGAGAGTCCAGTCCCGTTGAGAAGCACCAAGTTCCCATGTATAATTTTGAGTTGTGCGGAGTCCATTTCGGAAAAAGAAAGTGGAGTCTCCCTATTTGCTACCCAAACTACGGTTTGTGGTGTTATTTGTTTATACCATATACCCATGTAATAATTGTTGGAAAGATTACCTACCGTAAAGAAACCCATCTCAAATATTCCACCGGAAGAGATAATTGTTACGCCAATTGTTATGGATTTCTCTGCAGAAAGGGTATCTCCAAGGGACAATTTCTGGTTCGTACTACTGTTTGTGTTAGCTCCGAATGAAAAGCACGAGAATAGTACGAGTTGCAGGAAAAGGAGATTTTTTATATTTTTCACTTCCATGGTAATTGGTTGCTGCACTAAGCTGAGAAGAGACCGTTTAAAAAGAAAGAAAACATGTTATCGTGCTGAAATAGAATGTTGCATGTCAAGTCAACAAAACCAAAATTTCTACAATGGGACTCTGAGTGAGACACTTATATTTTGACTTTCTAATTTTTACATCTAATAATACGGTGAATATCATAAAATTCTACTTTACGTATATTAAGTATACTCAATTTATGTGATATATTTTCCTTTTTAATATGTCCCAGAAAATGACACCCTTTTTTTATATTTAAAAATAATTTAACTTTAAATTTTTTATTTTATTATTAAATAAGATAAATTATTGTCACACTAATGTTTGTGATTTGTTTTAGGTCACAGGTTTCAATAATTTTTGTTCTTTCTGAAACTTCGTGCCCAATCAAATTATATCTCATAAATGTCTTTCCTTGTTTCTTAACATATATATGTGCTAATTAAACCTCGTTATATAAATGAACCAGCGGAAAGAAGAGTATTTGTGTCTCTAACAAGTTTCGGAATAATTTTAAAAGTTCAATATAACAAGTGCCTTGAGTAGTTGAATTAAATAAATATTACCACCATTTTCAAGTCTAGTTTTGGCAGAGACATCTAACAAATGATTATCGAATATAATATGTTTATCCAGTAATTTATTTTTTTTAAAATACGTTAATCTGTATTCGAGAGTAGACCCGGTCCATTTGACACTTTCAAACTTTTCTAGAGTAAAAAGATTTTTTTTGCATCTGCAGTAGTATTGTTCCAGGGTAGAAAAAAAGAATCCGGTCCATTTGACCTTTTCAACTTTTATAGATTTAAAAAGACCTTTTTGCACCTGCAGTAATATTTGACATGAGTTTAAGTTATGTACCATCACCGTAAAGAATTCTTTACGATCGTTCAAAGAACATCTAGAAGTCTTTTTTGTTGAAATTGGCAAAAGTACCACATCGGTGGATGACAATTTTGAATGAGAATTTTACCCTATAAAAGGAGGCCTAATGTTTAGGATTTAAATACACATCTCATTTGCCTTTTATCTTCTTAAGGCATTTGTATCTTCTCTCTTTAGTATTATTTCACTTGTAATTTTGGAGTGGAATAAAATATTGATTGTGTCCGAGGAAGTAGGCAAAATTGGCTGAACCTCGTAAATTCTGGTGTTCTTTTATTGTTGTCTTATTGTCTTGTTTATTATTTAGTGGTTGTCATAATTTTTGGTATAGTAGTTGTGACTCATTCACACTATATACATTTGGCTTCCGCAACAATTGGTAACAATTGGTATCAGAGCCAAGGTACTGTCTAAGTATGCTCTGTGGTTGCAGCATAGTCTGATCTTCCACATCAGAAAAGATCTATCTTGGTAACTGAGTCAAGGTTCTGTCTGAGTATGCTCTGTGGTTGCAGCTTAGTCTGATCTTCCACACCAGAAAGGAAATAATCTTGATTTGTGTCGTCAGCTACTAAATAATATTTGTGTCAAAATGGGAGACAGTAAACAAGAAGAATCTACATCAAGTGTCAATAATACGTCATCGTTGGCATCTTCGCTTATGACAAGAATTGTGTCAAATGCGAAATTTGCGGTAGAAATTTTTGACGGGTCAGGACATTTTGGGATGTGGCAAGGCGAGGTTCTAGATGTTCTTTTTCAACAAGGGCTAGATCTTGCCATTGAAGAAAAGAAGCCAGATGTTATTGGAGAAGAAGATTGGAAAATTATCAATCGTGTTGCTTGCGGTACCATTCGATCCTACCTTGCTAGAGAGCAGAAATATCCATACACAAAG